TCCTTTTTCTGCTTCTGTTTGGCCTCTCTCTCTCTCTCTCTCTCTCTCTCTCTCTCTCTCTCTCTCTCTCTCTGTTTCTCTCTCTCTCTCTCTCGCTCTCTCTCTCTCTCTCTGTTTCTCTCTCTCTCTCTCTCTCTCTCTGTTTCTCTCTCTCTCTCTCTCTCTCTGTTTCTCTCTCTCTCTCTCTCTCTCTCTGTTTCTCTCTCTCTCTCTCTCTCTCTCTGTTCTCTCTCTCTCTCTCTCTCTCTCTCTCTCTCTCTCTCTCTCTCTCTCTCTCTTGTGCAAAAGGTATAGGCCAAGAAACAACCTGCTTCTTACACTAGCTCTACTGGAAAAAGATTGTTTCATCAAGAGACAACTTTTAAGTCATCTATGAGGAGAAATTAGATGAGTTTCTTACTCAGCTGACCACTGGGAAGCAATCACAGAGCAGTTTTTCCTCTTGTTGAAAACATTTAGTTTTCCCACTTTAATTCCCCTTCAAGGTATATAGAATAGAAAGCTAAAATTCTTTTGGAAAGAAAAACCATCTTGGAGAGCCAGGGCTTTGTGAAAGCCCTTTGGGAATTTCCTTATTACTTGAGTAGCTTGGTCCATAGGACTTTGGTGAAATGCTCTGATCCCAGCCAGAGACGAGGAAACAGAAAAAGACAGACTTTTGACAGGAGGCTCGAGAATGCCAGGCGTGGTCAGTGAGGAGGACAGCAAGGGCCCAAGAGTATGGGCAGACTGATCAGGCCCTGGGAACTGACTGCTACCAGCCTTTTTTGGGGAGTCTAAGTCCTATTCCCTTTTCTTAACAGCTAGCTCCTCCACTAAGGGAGCTGGAAACTGGGGTGATGGCAGAAGAAGTTTTTAAGCAGTGCGTCTTGATGACTTACACACGCAAGGTGGGGTCTTGTGTAACCACAGTGCTGAAGGTATTTGCAGAATAGTTCAAGTGCTCACCCACTTGACCTGGGGCTGTTTATGGGGAAGTGGTTTCCACAGTTCGAGGAGGTGAAATACTAATGTCATCCCAGGACGACACTTAACTGGCACAACAGCTGTGTAGTCATAGTTTCCTCTGTCAGAACAGAAACTTCTATATTATTCCACAGCTGTTCTAAGTGCACAGATGTGACGATGCCACCGTACCACAAGTCCTGATCAATGCAGTTCCAATGCTTGCGTAGCCAGGGGACCAGAACTGTGCTCGCAAAGCCTGGGCCAGAGGATTGCCAGCCTTTCAGACATCTGCTCTTTCAAGAGAGATTTATCAAGGGCTGCCCAAAGCACACTAATCACAGGACAGAAGTATGTGTCTAGTACTGATGGCAATAAACATACAAAAACTTAATCTAAGAAATTCAGTGTTTAAGAATCTATTTTTTACTTAAGGAAATCAAAATACTGATCAAAGCATATCTAGAGTCCCAGGTACTAGGACAGGAGAAAGGAAATTGCAAGTTTGAGATCAGCCTGGGCCACTTAACAAGACTGTTTAAGAAGAAAAAGGGCTTGGGATGTAGCTCAAGGCTAGAGCACCTGGAGTTTCATGACCAGTACCAAATCAATAAATCATAGATAAGCAGCTAGTCTCTGTCATGTTTATAACAGCTTAAAATTATGTGTAATTTACATCATCCACAATGTGAAAAAGGCAAAGAAAACGGTATCTCCTGTTGATGGCTATGTGACAGGCAGCTTCCACTCATGACTCACTATTCTAAGAGTTATTTCCACCTCTCCTCCCCCACGCCATCCTGTCTTCAGCTTAGAAAGAGATGGTAGTGTTTGTTCTACAGATGTTCCTCATATGTTCTGAGTGGCTGGGTATGTAGCCTCATTTTCTGGGGTTTAATTTGACATCATAAAAAGCTTTTTGCCTTTTTAGCCTCAGAATTGGATGATAGTCAATTATAGGACAATGGAAAATACACAAGCCAGTATTTTTTAAAAAGTAGCTCAGGAGATTGGAAAACTAGCCATATTAATGAAGAGAGAGAGAGACAGAGAGAGAGACACAGAGAGCGAGAGTTTATCACACAAAATGTTAGTTACTCTCATATGAAAACAATAAAAAAAGACAAATATACTATAGTGAAAATATATTTTTCCTGAACTGATTCTGTTGTATATCCTTCTGATATCAGAAACATATCTATTGTGTTTTGGAAGCCACCCTTCCTTACAGTTTGCAGATTTTATGTGAAAGGTAACCAATCCACAGACAGAACTATGTGCCTTGATTAACTTAAACAAATTGGTGAAACTTAACTTCATAACCACAGCATTTCGTTAGGAATTGAATTCCTAAGTCAGCCAAATCTGAAAAACCTAATTTTTTTCAACAGGAACACAGACTTTTCTGCAAAAAGGTTGCCTGGGGCAAGAGTCACCTTTGTACCCTACAGACTTGAGGCCACAAGGTTCATTTATTCAGGCTTCAACCCAAGCAAAGCCTTGAGTTATGTTTGCTTGTTTTCCTCCGTGAAACGGCTGACATCCTGAAAAATGCAGAGACTTGGGTCCTTACAGAGATATCTGCACAAACACACAGGCTCTGTTAAAAAGCCCCAGGTCCAAGCTAAATTATGGAATGTGCTCAAATGGAAAAGTAGAACCGAGCAAATGAAAAAGTGTAACCGAGCAAAGCTTGCATCACTTGCTACCCATTGGAGTCAATGAACTGAGAGACAGAGTGATGGAGAAGGGAAACCTTTAATAGGAAGATGGTAGGCTATTGCCTGCAATAACCATCATTCTGCTCACCCTAAGGTAAGGTCTTTTATAACTTTTCAAAGGAAGGTATGTAGGTCCCAAACAGGCAAGCACTTCAGTTGCTATTTCCAAAAATAGCTTCCTTTGGAATGTGGGCTAGGTACATCTCATCTTCTTCACATAGATCAAAAGAGTTGCAGTCCAGTGGATCTAAAGTCATAAATGATCAATTTATATATTGATTAAAGTGACTTGTGCCTGATATTTGTTGTGGTCAGTATTCAGTGTTTCTGGCAAACTCTCTTGCAGGTAAGACTTTTCCCTTAACTTGGAACTAGGAAGCACTCAAGGAGGGAGAGTTTTGTGCGCTTTGGCTAGCTGACATTTGGGCCCAGTTAGTCTATAAGTGATAGGGCAGGCAGGAGCAAAGAGAAACTTGGAAAGTTGGGTTGTTCACGGGAACTTATGCACACATTCAAGCTCATTAAATAGGAATGGTTTCTGAAGGTTGGTGTGCATCATTAGGAACTTATGTGCACATTCAGGGGTTCACTAAAGTTTGGTGTGCATCAGAATTACCTGGAGGCTTGGTAAGCACAACAGTGTAATTCCTCACCTCCCACAGATTGGGAGAAGGTCTTAGGACTTGCATTTTTAGCATGTTTGTAGGTGCTGCTCACACTGCTCTCTGGGCATGTTTTTCCTTTGAAAAACATGAGTATTGCAGTACTGGTTGGACTGTGGTCTGTTGTGTTTTCGTGCTCATTTCCTGTGCCAAATACTAAGACTGCATTAAGGAATTTGATTCTGAGTATTGAAATTTGACAGCTACCTCCTGCATCCAGGGTTTAGGTTACCTTGAAATGGGCTCACCTGAAATCTGTAAAGGAAAAACAATTCAGCTTTGGTAAGAAGATCCTTTCTAAGCTGTTGACTGAGAACCTGGTAACCTGGACTCATGCAGCAATGTAACTGCAGACATTTCTATTCTAAGGTAAATTTGCTCTGAGTAGAGACAGGGAAGTGAGAGACTATAGCCCTGACTCTCCTTTCTCACCCTTTCCTATGAAATAATTATCTTCTTTAAAGTAGACAGTGCCTCCCTCTTAAAGACTGAATCCAGGGCCTCACCCAGGCTAGGCAAGCACTCTACCACTGACATACATACCCAACCTTTTAAAAACTCGAGACAGGGTCTTGCTAAATTGCCCAAACTGGACTTGAATTTGCAATCTTCCTGTTTCAGCCTCACAAGTACAGATTAGGGACCTGTATCACCAGAAACCTGGCTGACAATCAGCTATTTACAAAAGTGCAAGGAGGATGTGGCTTTGGGCTTAGGGTAGAGGTTTGTCACCTCCACATGTGATCCTGCAACTCCACAGCGTCCTAGCAGGAGGCCTGTGCACATGGCCAACCCTAGGTAAAATACGAAATATGGTGTACGGCTGGACAACCTCTCTGCTATTGGCTCTCTGGTCCATGGAATGACCGGAAATAAATAGATTAGAAGTCTAATATCCTTAGAAGGGAGTAACATTGTCAAAGAAACGACAGGACTGGCCCCAAACGACTGTGAATTGCTCAACACCTAAAGAAAACCCCAACTCCTAGTCCAAAGGACAGGAAGTGGGCAGCTCCTCCTTGACCCCAAAACATCTCCTCCCCGTGTCATCTCAGATGTCTCCATGGAGGACACTTTCCCAGGGAGGAGAGCTGGGGACTCCTGTGAAGCTGATCTCAATTGGGTCCCAGTTCTGAAATTCCTGGGGAGCTGTTCACAATGTAGTTTTCTTCTCTTTGTCCCAAAGGTGGTCTCCATTTTATTTACTATATTATTTTTTGTTCTTGTTTGTTTTTTTCCCTACAATATTCTGTATTTAGGGAATGTTGGGGACCATTAAACTTCTCACTTAACTGTGGGCTTCTGGATTATGAGACAAAGCATGAAAAGCTCTCAGCCTCGAATAAGCCTCAAAAATGTTAGCAATTGTTATTAAGAAAGCTTGACTTACAAATACACACTAAAGAATATTCTGCTTAAGTGGTAGCCATTCAAATGGTGAGTTTTCCTAGGCCAGATATATTGAGTTGACATATAAATGCTCGTAAGTTTCAGTGGTCTGGAACTGTGTGTGTCTCCAGTATAAAAGTGGAGTAACTCTTCTTTTCTCCCCCCGAATCCCTGCATTTCACATCTCCCCACCACCACCAACACCACCATCCTTTTCACCGTGTATTACACTTCTTTACCAGTGTCTCTGATTGACTAGAAAACAAAACAGACTGAATGCCAATTTAACTTTTTAAAAAGCATCTTTATTATTTCATCAGGCTGAACACAGCACAGACTAAAAGGGTCTACTACATATTTGTCAGTTTGGTTCCTTTGGTATCATGTCTGCCTAGAGATAGCTGATGACAGCCACTCAACTGTCACCAAATTCAGGGTAAGAAAAGGGGAAGGAGATGATCCTGAGATCTTTCATATGAACTCAGTATATAAATAAATATTAAATTTAACAATTAAATAGCATAAATAAATTAAGATTTAACAGTTCCCACAGAAGAGGTAGCTGTGGAGGTTACAGGATTGTTTCCAAGGCTTTGGTTCTTGCTCCCTCACAGAGGTCAGTGGATTCTTGACTACTTCCAGGCCACTCAAGCATTCAGTTCCAGATCATTGATGTAATCTTGGACCCAGGTCTCATTGGGATCAGCACAGACCTCCCGGCCTCTCTTGGTTATGAAGCTGTGGAGAGGGAAAAGGATCAACCACTGAAGACTCCCACAGGGGCCTCCTGACACCATGGGGACCCTGCCATCCCAGCTCATGTCTGTAATAGCTAGGGATGCTCTGTCTGCTAGTCTAGACAGCTACTCTCAGTGACTCCAGGCCCTAGAGGACTGTCCCAAGGAGTGGGCAGGAGGGCTGGCACTTACATGACACCTGGCTGAGAGCACTGGCTGCTGGTCTCATAATAGTCAGCTACGTATGCACGTGGAATCTTCTTGGAGGCATAGGTGAAGCAGCAGGCTGTCGGCGTGTCAGCACCTACTGTAAGAGGAGGGAACAGAGTAAACTAAGTCATCTTTTAGAAGGGAGAGCCAGCCAAAAGCTGCTCCTTCACAGGATGAGGATGATTGGTTTGTTGCAAGCCGAGGCTGGAGTACCGGGTCGCTGGTAGGCATTTGGGCATTTTTGCCTAGAAATATCTATCTCCATCTACATTTCTGCCTCTGCTTTCTCTCTAAGTTCACTGTGGACTCTGTCTTTCCTTGTGTGATTCAGCAGTTTATTCTCTTGCCTATCTCTCTTCAGGGAATTTTATATCATTCAAGAAGTCATGCCCCAGTAAAAAAAAAGTCAGGGCCAGCTTTCTTGAGATAACCAAGGCACAGAATTCCAGCTAGTGAGTGGTGACACCACTAGGAAGTAACAAGTCTTTGATTTTGTCTCTTGTTTAGGAACCCATTTTTCTATCTATATAAAGTCCTATAACGGCCCAGCAGACCCCCAACCCTGACTCTCAGAAGAGCAAAGACCCCCTGTAAATATTGGAGAGACAGATCAAGATGTGTTCTAGTCCTTCATGAAATTCTTTTTCCCTTGGAGACTTTGAGGTCACAAGAAAAGATCAACATAGTCTCCTCATGCCAGGGAGTGGGGATACCTGGAAAAAAAGCACAAACTCACTTGGTGCAGAGAAGACCTGGTGGCAGAGAGTCATGGTGCAGAGGACGGCAGCGAGGACAGCCACGGAGACCTTCATGGTGCTGAGCAGTCAGTGGAGCACAGGCTCGAGTGTCAGCAGAACGAGAGAGGCCTGGATAGTGCTGCTGCTCCTGTGCTTCTGGCATCTCAAGCCATCTTCTCTTCTTTTTATAGACATCCCAGGCCAAAAGGGAAGTGCAATCTGGGGGTGACAAGGGAAAATCTGAAGCATGGTAATTCTGTCATCTGAGAATTGCACAACTCAGTCTTTGGTGACCAAAGGGGTGCAGGATATCCAAGAATAGCATCTCTGAGATATGGGTCTCAGTTCTCAACTCATAACCTGCTCTGACTTTTTGGAGGACAGTTGTCTCCCTTATGAGCAGGAGGAGAGGGGAGTGGTGGCTCAGGGCTATTCTTAGCTGGTCTCTTCTCATAAGAACTGATCTATAAATGACTTGTCTGGTTCCATTTCTTCCCACAGAACTGAAACTGCTTTTCAAGGACTCCCTAACCACATGGATGGTGTACTTGTGGTCAGTGGCACAGCTTCCCCACCCCAGCCTGTCTAACGAACTGAACTAAGGAATCCCCAGATAGAGGAATAGGAAGTATGAGGTCACATTTCACTCCTGCGTCCACTCATCAAACAGTCATGGGGTGACCAGGGCACTGGGTTAAACACTAGTTGTGGATCATAAAGATACTTTAGGTGTGGGTGTTAACACGTCAAGAATTAAAAATATTTGTACCCATTAATCTAGAAATAGCCTTTCTAGGAAACTGTACTATGGAAACAACTCAGATAGGGAGGCATCTTCAAACATAAAGATGAACCAGTATCACAATTCTGAAATAAGGAAACTTCATTCATTTTTACGAAGGACATGATAAAGTGAATTATGGCATATGTATAATTAGGCCCTTAAATTGAATGAAGTGACATAAATATGCTCTTGAAAAAGCAAGACAAAAAAATTACACAAATTTCTGGAAATGTATATATACTTCAACAATTGGAGCTATGGGAAAACTCAAAAGCATTAAAAATAAATGCCCTAAAAATTAACAATGCTTGTATTTGTGTGGTAGTTTTATCAATGATTACTTTTCTTTTTCCTTTTTTTTAAAAGAATTTTCTGATTTTATTTAGTGAGGCTGTATTACCTTCCTTATCAGTCACAAATTGTGTTTTAAAATATTTGTAAGCATCACTGGTTAAAATGACTTGTCAATTGTTTAATTTGAGAGAAATGTTTGATAAGTATACTAAAATTTCTGTCCAATGACCTTTGCTAGAATGAAGTCTTAATTTCTCATGTATCTGAATAATTTTAAGAATGCTATATAATATCTACTTAAGCACTGCTAAACTCAAAGCAGTTTTTATAATTCTTTTCAATGCATAATTTCAGTGATATAAAAGTCTACACTATCAGCTAAACTGGTTTTTTCTTTTCCATCCTTTATATTACTATTTCATAATTAATAAACCTATATCATATTTTATATTGAGAAATTGGTTCCATTATTTTTAAAAACTTTTTTAAAATACTGAATTTATTTTGCATGTATATTTTTGTTTCCCCACCATTTTCCTGCCTGACCACCATGACTGCGCCCTATCATAACATTCCCTACTACCTGATTAAAATCCAGAAAATGGTAGAGTTCCATCTTTAAAAACTAGACAGACATTCTGGACAACACATTCCTGGCAATGGACCTTGGACATGGATCACACATGGTAAGGAAATTTCTCACTTTGCTTTGTACAAAGGAAAGCCAGATATCAATTGTTACAGAAATGAAATAAGACCAAAAATGTTAACAAACTGCATAAACTATTTTCTTAAAAAGATTTCCTTCACTGAAAAAGATCTTGAATAGCTTCCTTGTCAATCAAAAACAATTTTTCACATAATTGGTGAACTTGACTGGCTTCTACTTTGAGAAGAGAACGACCTTTTTTTCTGACTGCTTACAATTTTGCTTTAGTATCTTCTTATAGAGTTAGATCTTTTTGGTTAAAGCTTTGATCTTTATGTTGATGGTATTGAGTTTTTTCCATTGTGGTTTGATTTATGCACACTTTTAACTGTAGTATTTCATATTTTCTTCACTGAAGTTTTTTTAGTTACTTCATCATCAAAATCATCGCAATCACCATCTTCTTCATCATCATCATCATCATTGCCTTCTTTCCTGGTTTTAGTTTTTTCTGTGGAAACTTGCTACCACATCTTGGGAGAGATGGGTTTCCAGATATACTTAAGAGTGTTACATCCTCTTCCTCTTCCTTTTTTAACTCTGCATCTTCTTCTACAGCTGCTAAGTGCTGTTCGTGAATATGTTCATTCATTCACTTCAAACTTAAAACTACAGGTAGTATAACTGCAAAGCCCCCAAGGCAAACCACTGGCTGTACAGACATCTTCAAAATTAGTGGTGTTACGCTAACCAGACCACTTTGTAATTCATTGCCTCTATCTTAACAATGTTCAGTTCATCCTTTGCATCAGCCTCTAAGCTGACCATTCTGAATGAGAACTGGTGCTTATTATCATTATTCATCTTAAGTAACATTGGTCAGCCTTTAATTCACAAGAAAAAGATAGCTTTGGGGCCTCAGGGGCTCATGTCCATGTCTATCAAATTTTTAATGGGGTGTTGGTGCACAGCTGACAGAGGAGACAGACAAAGATAAATGAGTAGTGGGTGGGACTACAGATCAGCAGCACAGCACCCACCGGGTAAGCAAAATGTCCTGAGTTTGATTCCTAGTACAAAAAAAAAGAATGGATAGTGCTCTGAGTTCTTTGTAGTGGCCTTTATCCCCAGACACCCCAATTTAGTAGGGACTAGTAAAATATGTGAATCGCAGCACTTAACAGAAAATGCTAAAACTCCTAAAAGAAGATGAAGCAAAAGCTAAGAAGACTCAGTATGAGGAGAGGAAAGGGATTTCTGTGGGAACATGGGGAAAGACTTCATTAAAGGGATGGAACTTTGGTTAAATCCTATGGAACACATTTGGGTGGGGTGGGAGGCCGATGCAAAGTTACAAGAGTGACATTGTGGACTCGGAAGGAAAGAGAAATTGTTTGGTGGAGCTGCAGGAGTGTTTGGGGAATATGGCTGATGGAATTAAACTGGAGCAAACCAGGAAGGACTAGAATTCTCCCCAAGGGAGTTAGAGTGGACGTGTCAGATACCAGGGAACAGTGGAGGACATTAGACATAACAAAAAAAGATCACACGTTAGGAATTCTGTCTTTCCTAAATGTCTATAGAGTTACAATTTTAAGAACACACAGGCTCTGTTTGCACACTCCCTGTGATTGCTAATGCTGGAAATAAGGCAGGTGAAGCAAAGGCAAAATCATGGGCAATCAATGGGAGGTTTCACTGTGGCTGTGGCATCCAAATATATTCCTGCATCATTAAAATCTCAAATACTGGATATTGCAATCCACATATTATAATCCCTTTTTCAGTCTTCCTCACAATCCAAAAAGTTATACTTATAGTCTCATTGAGATGTTATTGTAATCTCTGCAAGTTAATTCCAATCTACCGCCTCCAATGCAACCCACAGCAAGAGTAAAGACACTGAGACAGATTCAAAAATAAGGACAGCTGAGTGGTCCTAAGCCCAGTCCCCATGAGGATGTGTGGACAAAGGCCCTGATCCAAAGCCTCTCCCAGAATTTACTATCTTGTGAAGAAGGGGGTGGTTTGAGGATGAGTGATAGTGAGGATGGTGAGAATTATGTGAGTAATTTGAGCTTGTTAGCCAGGTAAAGAAAAAAGCATCTTTGCAAAACACAGGGAGAATGACATGCGGAAGGACCAGTCTGCATAATTCAATTAAGGTAACAACTGAATTGTTTTTGGCGACTGCTGCTCCAGTTTCTGATATGTAAACTTTTGTGCTCTGAGGAGTCATAGTCTCTTACTTTGAGGCTCCTACCCAGCTGACATTCCCCAGAGCTGAGTGGCTCTGCCATCCCCCTTTGCTCATCTTTGACAGAAAATACTATGCAAGGAAACAGGAGACTGTCTGATGGCTTTAGATATTACATATTAGTTCCTTGGCTGGCCTTATTTGCAATGTTTAAGAGCCAATTGAAGAGAGAATGAATTACCATAGTCAGCTCTGTCCCTATCTTTATATGGAAATGTCTCGATTTAACCAATGTTGCAACAATAACAATTTGAGTGGCTCATAGTGTCTCCTACACTGTATGTCTACCAGTCCCCCAAAAAGAAGTCACTATCACTTCTTTTCACTAGAAACTGCTTTACAGATGATGAATTCTCCTCAACCCACATTCTCTGTCCCCAGCCATACCCTGATGGCCCCAAGTACATTCTCTCATTCATTTCTTTAAAAACAACATTTTGTTGTACTCTTTTGATACACATGATCACATTCATCAAAGATAATTTGTACTTGTATATGGTATATCTTGATTCTTCTTTTTCTCCCCATTCTCTTCCCCTCACTTCAACACTATTCTCCTCATTTGCAAAACCCCGTTTCAGTTTTTTCTTCTATTCTCTTTTTTTCCTTTTCCCTTCCTTGCCTTGCTCCTCTCTCCTCCCTCCCTCATTTCTTAGGGAACTCATGATTCAGTTCCTATGAGTTAGGGGAGAAGAAAAGAGGAAATGGAAACTGCTGAATGATCCACTCTTCTGATAACGGACATGATTTGTTTCCAGGATTACAATAATAACCACAGAGTAAAATAAGTCATCTATGAAAACTTTTCTTCAAAAACTCAGATGACACCTTGTTGGCTTTAACCCAAATATGGACTATGTCTTGTTGACTGATCTTAGTTAATCAAATTCTGGCACACGATGATTATAACATGAAGAATCTCCCAACCAAGTCTCTGTTTCTAATGATCTTGTTCTTTTTAATAAAAGTGATTTATTGAATGTATGATTCTTAGTGTTTATATATTCATAAAATTTTCCACATTAATCCCCAAACCAGGAAATAGACTTTTGCCATGTATTTTCATTTGGGTAGAAAATAACATACTTGAATGTATAGAATGCTCTTAATATATATATCATATAAGTAATGGGATCCATAGGGCGATTGAGTTAGAAGACTGTTGGAAATTTCCTAAATAGCAAATTTATGTTCCCAGGTGATTGCTTTTTAATTTAACCAGTGTTACACAGGTGGAATT